GGGGGGGGGGGGGGGGGGGGGGGGGGGCAAGCACGGGCCCCAAACTGCTCTGGCTCCCGGGCCACGTGGGTCCCGACGGCCAGCCGCCAGGAGGCCTAATTCCAGCAGCGGCAGTATTTTCGGACGGGCGCTGGCCGGGGTCCCCGACTGGCCCCAGCAGCAGGACGTCTTGGCCCGGAGCCCGAAGCCAGCGGCCGGCCGTGTTCACACCCGGCCCTGCCATGGGGTAGGCCTGCCCAGCCCTGGCCGGGGAAGGACGCCCGCCCCCCACACCCGGGGCCACACCCCGGGGTTCTAGCCCCCTGCAGACTCCGGGGCTCCTGGCCATCGCGTCGCACGCCTACACAGCCTGGGGGGTCTCGGTGCCCCACCCTTCCCCACACCCCTGCCAGAGGGGTCTCTCCAGGCGGCACGGGGCCCAGGGTGCCCTGCGGACGCGCACCCCTGGAGCTGGGCTGAGCGGGGAGACTGCTTACTCCCAAGGGCTGACCAGCCCCGGGGCAGAGGCCAGGTGGTTCACTCAGCATTTACTAAGCGCCTACTGTGTGCCGGGCCCCACCACCCCCTGGGAAGCCAGACTGGCCAGCCCACCTCCCGGCCCCACTCGCTGCCTCTCCCCAGAAGCCCCGCGTGGAGCGCCAGGAGGACGTGCGGGGAGAAGGTGCCGGGCCCCCAGGGGACAGCGCTGCTCACCCCCCGGGGCGGCCCGAGCAAACCAGAGGAACGGACCGTCCCCAGGGCGGGCCGGCGCCCGGGCTGGACGTGCGGGGAGAAGGCGCTGGGCCCCGCCTCGGCCGCAGGGGCTGCAGAGCCGCTCGCTCGTTGACGCGGACGGGGAACCGCCACGCGCTTCTCACACGACGCAGAGAGAACGGACACCACATTCCCGTGAAAGCCTCAGCACAACGCTCGCGGCGGCTGCAACCGGACACAAGCTGGGGACTCGTCCGCGCACACGACACTTTTCTGTGCGGGAAGGAGCGCCGGGGACGGGCGCAGCGCGGGCCAGTGTCGGGCGTGTCACGCCACACTCCAGAGGTGCCACGTCACTGGCTCCACGTAGTGACTCCGGGGCAGAGCGGGGGCCGGGAGGGGAGGCCGGCGATGGCCTTCAGGGTCCTGGTTGATTGGGAGTGTCCCGTATCTGCCTTTGTCACGGCTCACAGAACTGTCCCCTTCACGGGCACGGAGCTTATACATGGATTGTATCTTTGATTTCTTAACTGGAGCCGGGACACGTGGCTTCCCGTGCCCAGACCCGGGGCGGGCGGCCCTCCCAGGATGGAGACGCCCGGTGGAGAGGCGTTCTCTGGGCACAGAGACAGGGCCCGGGGAGGCACCAGGGAATCGGAGGCCCACGGCAGCCTCCTCCCGAGAAGGGCCAAGACCTGGTTCCCGGCCTGTAAGTAGTTCTAGACCCTGAGAGGTTGACACAGGGTCCCGGGCCTGGCCTCCCTTGCCCCCCTCTCCCTGCTGCCCCAGCCAGCCCGCCAGTCTCCCCGCCTGCTCCCGCAGCCCTCCCCGCCCCGCTGGGGGACCGGCACAGCCCTCCGCGTGGCCAACTCCACACGCCGCACACCCCGATCCCCACGCACAACATACTCGAGGGAGCAGCCAACAGTCCCGAGCCCCGTGGGGGCCCGCTCGCATCCACGTCGGTGCGGGGGTGAGGGGCCCGTCAGCCTGCCCCCTCCCAGACAGACCCCCCCCCGAGCACCTTCACTCTACGGGACCCCACCAGCCACCACCCCAGGGATGCCTCAGGCCCACTGGCTGCCCCGCATGCAACGCTATTTGATGCTTAACAACGACTCCATGCTGAGCACTGTGTCCTCCCCGCTACACAGATGGGGAAACCGAGGCACGGGGGGATGGGCTCTGTCACACAGGGAGCCCCTGGGTCATCCTGTGACAGTGAGGACAAAGGCGGGGCAGGGTGCAAACTCGGGACGGGCCCTGCTTTGCACAGACAGGAGGGGACACAGGGAGATGGGGCGAACCACCCCCGCCCCCAGCCCCGGCAGGAACGGGGTCCGAAGCCTCGGCAGGAAGTGCTGTGTCTGTCGGTGACTGGGGGCGGCCTGGACAGCCAGGCCCTCTGGACAACAGGGGGCATTGTCCTCCCAGTGAAAGGCGGCCATTGAGGCCCCGGCTCGAGGCGGGGCACAGGGTGGGGAGGCAGCCGTCACCAGGGTCACCCCTGCAAGCTGGGGTGGGGCAGGTGGAGACACCCTATCTCTACACACCCGCGACCTTGCCCAAGGGCGGGGAGCGCCAGCCTGGTGCCTGTCTGTCCAGGGTCCATCCGGAGCCCGGGCCGTGTGGCTGCCCCTTGCCCCGCGCTCCCAGGCACCAGGCGGTGCCTGGCCTGCGCGTGACCTGGCGGGAGCCCAGGGCCCACTCCACACCTGGCGACCACACGGCACTACGAACTACCCCGTTCTCGGCGGCCCCGCCGAGTCCCCACAGCCCTACGATGCCCGAAGGCGCCACCAGCTTCTCGGTCTTCCCTGCAGGCCGTGACCTTGACGTCTTCGAAGAGTGCCAGTCAGCTCTTCGGGTCAGGGCCCCTCACGCAGGTCCGTCTGGGGTCTCCCTGAGGCGGAGCAGAGGCTTTACGTCTTTGGCCAGGAGGCCACGGAAGCCACGCTGCCCGTGCACCGGGGCCCCGTCCAGCCCGGTTGCCGCGCGTCAGGCGGGTCCAGCAGCTTCTCTGCCAGCGACACCCTTTCCCTCTGTCCTAATCCGAGTCCACGGGAAGACGCTGGGGGACGTGCCAACCCCGCCCCTCCTCCAGCCCCCGTGGGTCTCAGCCCCGCCGTGGGCCCGTCCACACCTGCTCCGCCGGGAGTTCGCCCGGGACCCGGCCCTCCCTCCCTGGCCCGGCCCTCCGTGGGCTCACGGGCGTTGCTTCCCCTGTGGCACCTTTGGCGCCCACGTCCCCTCACACAACTGTGCCGAGCCCTTCCTCCCGGGGCCACGTGTGGTGGTCGCCGGCCGGCCCCACCTCCTACTGGGGGCGCAGGCTCCCGCCACGGCCCCCCCCCCCCCCGAGCCACAGGGTGGCCACGGCTTTGCCTCTGCTGTGCCCGGGCCTCACCGGGCTCCCGGGGCTGGAGGCCTCCCCGAGCCCCGCATCTCCCTTCGTCCCCCTCCGAGGGGCCCGGCTACACTGCATTCGGATGGCCAGTGGGTGTGTCAGCCCCTGGGCCCGAGAAAGTGTTTTTCGGGCAGGAAGTGCTCCCGGGAATCCCCTGGTGGTCCTCACAGGCCTGGGGGAGGGGCGCCCGACGAGGAACCACAGGGCCGGGACTCCTCAGTGGTTGCCGGCCCCCCAGGTGCCCCTGCCCTACCCCCTGGACGCCGGCCTGGGGTGGGGGGGGCCGCTCCCTCCGTCTCAGCGGAGCGCTGCGCGGGCTTGGGGTCTGGGGCGCCCGGCCAGCCGGGCACCGGAAGCTGCAGGGCCTGGTGGCCTCGGAGGGCCCCGTCTGGGAGACCCAGGAGGGCACGTGTGGGGCACTGGGGAGGCCTCTGTGGTGAGCGGGTGAGATCCAGAGGCCGTGTGGGGCCGTGGTTCCGGCTCCTCTGGGTCCCCAGGCTTGTGGGGTCGGTCCCCGAGGCCGACCTCTGAGGCCCATGCGCCAGCACCTCCCACGTGACTTGGAGCGTGGCCTTGCCCCGAGGGGGAGTCCGGTGAGGACCCGGGCGGGGGCCGCACACGGCCCGCGTGGGCCCTGGAATCGGGACGCCAGTGCCCTCCACCAGCCCCGCAGGGTCCGGCGGAGAGGCGACCGTCTGCGCGGCTGTGGCCTTGTGGGGCCACGGGCTCGGGGCCGCTGCTGTGTCCCTCCTGAGGACCCCCTGCTCCTGGCCTGTCTCACACACGCACGAGATGCCGGGGACGCTTCCCGAGGGGAACAGCGGTGGCAGCAGCTTGGGGGAACGGGTTCTAACGGGCAGAGAGGACTCCCGGCTGGCCCCGCGGCCGCGGTGGGAGGCACAGGGGGGACCTGGCCCTCGTGGACCTCAGCGCCTGGGATGGACCCACGCACTCCGGCCGTGGACCGGTCTGGTGCCCGCACCCCTCACTTCCGGAACCCAGCAGGGCCGCTCCCATCACCCCTGCCCCATCTTCCGGCCCCGGCCCCACCCAGGCCGAGTCCGTCACTCCCCTCCCACCAGCACCTGGTCACCCTTCGGGTGCCCGCCGCGGCCCCGAGGCGCCAGCCCCGTCGTCGGAGCTGTGCTGTGGGTGACCGTGGGGTCTGAGCACCGGGCCGCCCAGCTCAGTGTCAGGAGGACCGGACACGGGCCAGACCAGTTAGGCCTGCCAGCGCCTCGGACAGGGAGGAGAGACACCGAGACAGGCAGGGACAGAGAGATGAGGACACAGAGAGACACACAGAGGGACACGCGCGCTCTTACCTGCGGAGTACGGCTCCTGCTTCTCCGGGTGGGTGAACTCCAGCCGTTCGTACTTGGCCCGGATCCACTGCTCCCGCAGGAGCCTGGGGAGGGAGGGCAGAGTGAGCCCCGGGCCGAGCGGGACCGCGGCGCGTGGGGGCTCCTGGCACCCCACGGACACGCGGCCACTGAGAGCGCGCGTGTCCACCGCTTGCAGACGGCAGGGCCGAAGGGCCGCCCGCTTTGATTTTTAAAATCATTTGCGATCAGACAGGTCTGCCACTAACACCTCCTCCTAAGAAAAGAAGAAATGGCCCTCGGGGGCGCCTGGCTGGCTCAGCCGGAGGAGCCTGCGACTCTTGATCTCGGGGTTGGGAGTTCAAGGTCCCGCACTGAGGGCAGAGATTTCAAAACAAAGGCCATGTCTTCATTGCCCAAAAAAATGGCTCTGATTCACGTGGCCGTAACGCGACCACCGAAAGCGCGGACTCTGGCAGCTCACGGCGCCTTCCCAAGGTTATGCCGCCGTCACCCCAAAGAGGACCCCATGCCCACCCGCGCCCCCCCGCCCCCCCAGCCCCCAACCACAGTCCACTTCCGCACGGAACCGGGCGGGTACGAGGCTGTCTGGGTCAGCCCCACTGGGGCGTCATTCCTTTCCGTCCACCGGCCCTCGAGGCGCACCCCCGCCCACCGCCCCCCGGGAGGGCTGCCCCAGAGGCGGCAGAGGGCCGTGTGCCCGGAGCGCCCGGTCATGCCCGTGGTGGGTCCTGCCAGACGGCCCGGCGCCCACGGCCCTCGCGGCCCCTCCACCGGGCGAGGCAGCGGCTTCCTCGCCCTCCTCGCCCTGCGGCCCCTGGGGCCCGACCCCCCTCGGAAGGGGCCATCCGACGACACGTCGGGGACCCTGGCACGGCCCTCGGGCTCGGAGGCCCTTCCCGCCGCGTGCGGGGGCCTCCCCGGGCCCGGCACAGAGGCTCCCGGTGGCAACAACGGGACTAAGCCCTGGAGGCAGGCACGGGAGGGGGTCCCCACGCTGCTTGGCAGGCGCATCCCGGACCGCTCGGCCCCCGGGGACCCCACGGCCAGGGTGTCGCGGCAGGGGGCCCCGCCCTCCGGAGGCCATCTGGCCCGGCCTCCCGCACCAGGGAAAGCCGGCAGCGACGGGGTTCCCGCTACACGTGAGGCCCGGCGACGAGGGAAGCAGTGTCCACACCCCGTCTCGGGCCTCTGATGAAGCCCCAGACATGCTCTACGTTCTCGGGAGCTGAGGGCGGCCAGGCTTCGCCGCCCCCCCCCCCCCCCGACCTCCAGGATGTGGGAACAGTGAATTTCTGTTGCAAAAGCTGAGCACCCGGTGTTTCGTCACCCTGGCCCCCGGAAGCCAGCACGGGGCCCCTGCCAGCCACCCTGCCCGCTGAGGGCTCGGGGGGCTCCTCCAGGTTCCGCCGAGGCTGCCTGCTGAGCCCACGGCACAGGAGGCCAGGGGCTGGCTGACAGCAGAGGGAAAACCGGGAGGGCCCTGGTGACTTTCTTCCCGCCGTGTGAGGCCCGAATGCCAGGCCAGCAGGGCAGACACGGGAAGGGAACTGGGTCCCGCCCCCCTGGGTCACCGCCTGACACTAACACGGCCTGATCCCCAGGCCTTCTGAGCACGGCTCCTCATGGGCCCCGTGCCCCGGGCAGGGGGACACACACACACACACCCCCCCCCAGGCCATCCTCACGACACGTGGGAGCCTCCCTGGCTCCGCAGTGTGCACATCTGAATCCCCACGGTTTACAAAGGGATTCCACCACACCTCCTACCGCTGCATGGCTGTCCACAGGGAGCTTGGTGGGTCGGCTGCCACACCTCCCTGGTCAGCTTTCCCCACGAGGGGCTGGGACCTCACCCCTGCAGATGTCTGCACCCTCCTGGGCCTCTGGGGCTTGGCCTGGGCAGACCTGAACACCCACGGAGTGTGGGGGCCGTGGCAGGCTCGGCTCCCACAAACCTCCACCTGGCGGAAGCTTCTGGAAGGCAAGGCCTGCCCCGGGTCAGCCCGCTCACCACCCTGGGACGCCCAGTCACCTGATGGGTCCTGACCACACTGCCCCGGCAAGGGGCAGGGATGGTCTCTGTGAGCATGTCCTGGCAAGGGCGTGGCCTGTGTTCCAGTCTGTCCCTTGTCATACACTCAGACAGAAGGGACACATGGGGACACATGCAAATAACCAGACCACAGGGCAGCCTGTGGCCGGGGCGATAAAATCACATCTCACAAATAGCTGTCCGGCCTCGCTGATTCATACTGGGACGTGAATGGCCTGGCGTGGCCTCAGGGTCCAGATTTCCCCGGGAGCCCAGAAGCAGTGGGGTCTCAGGACGTGACACGGTGTCTGCATGGGGGTGGGTCCCTGGCAAGGCGTCCTGTCCCCAGAGACCCGCAGCCAACAGCATATCACCGGCCCGGAAGGTGGGTGGGCCAGGTCCCCACCTTCCTTTCCAAGAAAGGGCAGCTCACCCCCAGGCAAGTGGCCACGAGGTCTCCCACCTGCCCCCATGGGAACAGGGCTCCCCAGCATAGAGACCACGTCCCAAGTGCTGGTTCCAGCTCGTCTGCTGGCATCTGTGTTACCCTGAGAAACTCACCCAACCCCTCCGGGCCCCCAGGAACACCCTTGTCAAAAGAGGGCCATTCGTTCTGAGCTGTGGCTGCCACCGTGGAAGAAGAGAGGCGGTCGGCGGGGGGCGGGTCTGGGTGACACCCCAGGGCCAGGCCTGTGCTGGGAGCAGAGGACCGAGGCGCCCCGGGTGGCGATGCCCAGGGAGGGAGGGAATGCAGGGAGGTGTAGTGATGCCGGGGGAGGGGATGACTGGCTTGGGTGGGGGCACGGGGGGACAGGGGGACACCCTGAGACAGATGGCCGCACAGGTGCAGCTTCTCAGCATCCTCCTCAGACCTCCGGGGAGTGCTCGAGGGCCCCCAGCAAGGACCCCACCGCCCAGCCACGGGCCCGGGCCCGCACCCGCCCCCCTCCGGTCTTCCAGCCCCAGACAAAACCGCTCGGCGACTTACTGACAGTCAGAGGACGTGGGCCGGTAGTAGAAGGGAGGCACTTTGGACTCATACGCGTCTCTCGCAGCGTCATTTCCATGGGAGGCCATGAACTGCGGAGAGAGGACAGGGTCAGTGCTCCCGGAGGCCGGGGCCGGGCCGGCTGAGCCCCAGCTGCTGCTGTCCCAGCGAAGGTATTTCGCAGTGGCCGCAGGGACAGGACCTGCACTTCCGGCCAGAAGGGGTGCTGGGGAGGGTGGCAGAGAGGCCGGGCCCTGCATACATCCCCCGGGACGGCAGCGCTGTGCCCTCCGCCCGAGGTGCCCCGTCCCTGCCTCACGCGAGGCCCGCCGTCCACTCATCTGACCCACACGGGCAGGCGGCCCTCGAGAACTGGACACAGCGAGGGCCCCAGAGATGGAGACTGGCCCGGGGCAGCAAAGTGCGTGTCCCCCGAGGCGGACGGACAGCAGGAGTCAGGAGTGGGGAGCAGGGCACTTACACGGGCAGTGTGGGTGGGCAGTAGGTGCAAAGGCCCTGAGGAGGGTGCTTGGTGTGCTGGTGTTGGGCGACATCCCAGGGCCGGTGTGGGGAGCAGGGAAGGGGCCAGAGGGGCCTGACCTCACAGTGGCCTAAATCCCTTGTGTTCCAATCCTGCCTCCTTCCCGAAGCCTCCAGGGAAAGCCTTTCTTCTAACAGCATGGAGCTTTGGGGACCACTGGGTCGTGACCATGGACGACCCAAGTGGGTCAACTGGAAAATACCACCAACAGTAAGACACTTGAGCAAAAGGCTGGAACCAAATTAGAATTCTGAAATCAGAATTCTATGTATCTGAAACCTCAGCCGAGAAGCAGCCTCACAAGAAATGCTCAAAGTCTCCACAAGGCAAAACTTAACACGCTCCTGAGGGATGAGCACAAAACTGTGCACAGAGACCCGTGCCTGGGAGGGGTGGGAACATGCCGCCTCCTTATGTTAATCTATGTGCTTTTGGAAGTTGTCAAAAACAAAACGGGAATAGCCGTTTTTAAAGCTAGCAATGGTTCTAAAGTTCATTTTAAAGTTGACAAGCAGGGTAGGGGCGCCTGGGTGGCTCAGTCGGTTAAGCGTCCAACTCAGCTCAGCTCGTGATCTCGCGGTTCGTGGATTCAACCCCCACGTCGGGCTCTGTGCTGCCAGCTCAGAGCCTGGAGCCTGCTTCGGATTCTGTGTCTCCCTTTCTCTCTGCCCCTCCCCCGTTCATGCTCTGTCTCTCTCTGTCCCAAAAATAAATAAACGTTGAAAAAAAAAAATTAAAAAAAAAATAAATAAATAAATAAATAAAAAAAACATAAACCTTAAACAAATTTTTTTAAAAAATACAATTAACAAGAAAAAATATTCTAGAAAATTCTGTAAATGAAGACTCTTCCTACCAGATATTAAAACCTGTTACTGACTAGAAAGCCTAATCAATGAAACCAAGAAAAGTTCCAGAAATCGATCCGCTAGAATCTAATACTGACATTAAGTGGATTTAATAGGATTAACGCCCATCTCCCATCAGCGAGGGGCGCCCACTGGCTGATCATCAGTGGGGGCAGGAAACGCAGAAACCATTGGAGAGAAAGTGTGGCTGGACGCAGCCTTTCAGTGACATAAGTTCCAGCTGAATTGAAGCTGTGATTTCCAAAATTAAACAGTAAAAAGAGTAGATAAGAACCATGGTATAATTTTTAAAATCATGTTAGGAAAACACAGGAGGAAATCTCCCATTAATGTCTCCCGTCAAGACGTGGTTTCCTAGATGTCCCACCACAAGCACAAACAACCAGAGACAACAGTGGAACTTCAGAATTAAAAACTGTGCTCCAAAGGATGCCATCGAGAGAGTGCAAGCGTGGTGCTAAATAACAGCAGCCGGGCGAGAAGGGCACAGCGCGTGGCCGCGGGGCCGGTGGCACTGGGTCCTTGGACGTGACGGGAATACTTGGAAACAGACAACATGACCGTGGCAGACGCCATCACACTGTTCCCTTTAAAATGGCGGGTTTGGGGGCGCTGGGGCGGCTCAGTCACGTGTCAGACTCTTCACTTTGACTCAGGTTATGATCTCACAGTTCATGAGTTCGAGCCTCGCGTCGGGCTCTGTGCTGACGGCGTGGAGTCTGCTGGGGATTCTCTCTCCCTGCCCCTCCGCCATTCGTGCTCGTGCTCTCTTTCTCGCTCTCAAAATAAATAAATAAATGTAAAAAAATAAAATAAAATGGTGGGTTTTCTGTTATGTGGTTTTCACCTCAGTAATAAAAAATATATACGTATATAGCTCTTCAAGAATATACATTTCTTTTTTTTTTTTAATGTTCATTTTTGAGAGAGAAAGAGAGACAGTGTGAGAGGGGTAGAGTCAGAGAGAGAGGGAGACACAGAATCCGAAGCGGGCTCCAGGCCCTGAGCTGCACAGAGCCCGACGCGGGGCTCGAACCCGCGGACCGTGAGATCATGACCTGAGCCGAAGTCGGACGCTTAGCGAACTGAGCCACCCAGACACCCAAAAAATTGGTAAAGGATTTGCGTGGACGTCTCTGTGGAGCACGTACGCAGACAAGCCGGCCGGTGTACGCGGAGATGCTGACCGCCTGGTGCCCACGAGGGCGTCTAGAATCAGAGGCAGGCGGTACGATGCGTTGGGGACCCGGGGACCACCGTGCACTGCCAGGGGCCACGTGCACCTGTCCTGGACCCCCTGGGAGGCCCCCAGGTGTCAAACAGAGAGCCCCGTAAGGCACAGCGAGGCCAGGCCATTCCCGGAGGAAGGCGACCCCTGCCCCTGACTGTTCGCAGCAGCACTTCCTGTGGAGCCGAGGGAGTCACGCAGCCCAAGAGTCACCGATGGACGGGCGAGCCGAATGTGGCCTGTCCACACAGCGGGAAGCAGTCCACGATAAAGGGGACGACCACGTGGCTGAACCCTGAACACATGGTGCTCCGCGGGGGAAGGAAGTCAGAGGCCACGGGGGCGGGGGGGGGGGGGTTGGGGGGGTGGGGGGGGGCGGGGCGGTCCACTGACATGACCCGCCCGGAAGACGTATCGGGACAGAAAAGCAGATGTTACTTCCAGTAGGGGCGGGGGTGGGGGTCGTGGAGGGAAGGGGGAGGGGCTGCTGAGGGGCACAGGGTTTATTTTGGGAAAATGTTCCAAAATCAGGCAGTGGGGCCGGTTACGCAGCCGGAAACGTGGTGAAATCGCGTCCGTTCACACCTCACAAGGGCGAGTGGCCTGGCGTGAGAGCTGCGTCTCAGTAACGCCCTTGTGAGTCAAAAGAAGCCTGGGGCAGAGCGGGCCCCTCTAGGTACCCAGAGACCCGAAAACCACAAAACGCTGATAATTTTGACTCCACCAAAGTAAAAATTTCCGCTGCACACAGCACAAGCAGAGTCAAAAGGCAGCGCGAACCAGAGGGCCATACTGTCTCGAAGGGTCAGACCCCCAAACGTGGAAAAACCCGAGAAAACGAAACAGCTAACAAGGTGTCAGCCAGGGCGCCAACGGGAGGCCACGGATGAGACGCAGAGGACGCCAACCCACGCCACGGACGCTCAGCGTCACTCATGATACAAAATGCCATAGGGGCGCCTGGGCGGCTCGGTCGGTCAAGCGGCCGACTTCGGCTCAGGTCGTGATCCCGCGGTCCGTGGGTTCGAGCCCCGCGTCGGGCTCTGTGCTGACGGCTCAGGGCCTGGAGCCTGTTTCGGATTCTGTGTCTCCCGCTTTCTGACCCTCCCCCGTTCGTGCTCTGTCTCTGTCTCAAAAATAAATAAACGTTAAAAAAAAAAAAAAAAAAAAAGAGGAAAACAAGGATCCCGCAGGGACACAGCAGAGGAGGATCCCGGGGCCAGGGTGTGCGGGTGACGCGAAGTCTCCCGGAATCACAGTCACGTGACCTCCCACGTGCAGGAATTAAGGTTCCAGGACCTGCCACGGGTCCCGCGGTGGCCTGGCGGTCACAGGAGGTGGGGAAAGGCAGAGCTGGCGTGTCTGTCCAGGGGCCTGGTTCCATGAACCACGAGTCTCCACCGGGGGGGTGACTCCGCCCCGGCGGGCAGGACGGGGGCCACGCTCGGTCACAATACTCCTTGTGGGCACGGGGCTCGGTACCAAACCACGGCGCCCCAGGTGCTCGTGGGCAGGTGGACGGGCAGACAGGACGAGGCCTGTCCACGCAGCGGACGTCGTCCCCCACAGAAAGGCCGAAGCCCTGACAGGCGCTACCAGGCGGGCGGAGCCTGGCCACGTGGCACTCAGGGAAAGCGGCGGAGGCCAAGGCCACCTGCTGCCTGCGCCCTTTCACGAAAATGCCCACGACAGCCACGTCTGTGGAGACGCAGAGCCTACGGACACCGCTCGGCCTGGACCGGACGGCGAGGAGCACGGGTTCCCTCGTCGGGCGTGAGATGCCCTAAAAGTGACTTCGGCGACAGTGGCCTGACCATGGACCCACCGGAAACAGCTGAGCTGTGTGCTTCGAAAGGGCGAACCGGGGGGCGGACAGCACAGGACACGAAGGCCTTGCTCACCCCATAAACCTGTCCCCTGCCCCGCCCACCCCTCCCTGCCCCCAGCCCCCTGGGCTCCCCGCACCACCGCCCTGCCCTCACCCCTCTTCCCCTCCCCCCCACCTCCCACTCCTCAACCCCCCCGCCCCCCACCGCTCCCCCCTCACAGTGCCAGCCACAGCCAGGAGCCGGGAACACCGGGGGTGGCCACTTCGAGGTGTCTGTGACCCAGGGGGCCGGGCCGAGGGCCCCGTGGGGGGTGCGGCCGGACCACAGGGGCTCCTCCGACCCCCCGCAGCCCCATCCCCTCGGGGCCGTACCTCCACTTGGGCCTCCTCCCAGGCATCCAGGCGGATTGACTTCACCTTGCTGACCTGGGGGATGTTCCGGTGGATTCCCGAGCAGCTCAGGCAGATGAACACCCCCAGGGTGTAGGAGGCCCAGTCGGGATCTGGAAGGCAAAGGCGAGACCCTCAGGGGCTGGAGCTCGGCCGGGCCTCTCTGTGGCCTCAGTCTCTCCACCTGTGCGACGGGAGACCGGCGAGGAGATCCCCGGGGCGCACCGGCTCTGTGCCCCGCGCGGGGTCCCTGCCACCAGCCACAGGTGAGCGGCCCCACCCCCGAAGTCCCAGCTCCACAGACGCCCGAGCGGACGCGCCGCGGCCACGGAGACGTGCTCGACAGCGACACTCGATCGGCACCAAGTGCGCCGGGCGCGACGGGGACGCTGGCTTGGCCACGCGCCCACGCGCTCGGACGTACCCCGACGTCTCGCTCGGTGCAACAGCCACGTGCGTATGCGGATGGCCCTTGACCCGGTCAGGGGCGCGGGTCCACTTTTCCGCAGGTTTGCCAGGTTTCACGTTGAGCCACGGCAGGCGAGCGTGGCGGAACGTGACGCTTGTTCACCCGGGGCACCGACGGCGCCTCCAGGATTGTCCTTCCTGTTGCGCACACCCCAGCCTGGTAACGGCGCGCGGGGCCGGGGGCTGGAAGGACCGAGCCTCAGAGCCAGCTATCAGAAGGGGCGGCAGCCTCTGAGACACCTTCCACTTTTAAGTGAAGCTTCTGGATCAGCCGGTTCGAGTCAAGAGGCCAGGAGGGCCAGAGCCCCTCTGCAGACACCACAGGCCCAGCCACAGGCCCACGGCTCTGTGCCAGGGGTGTGTTTGCAGGGGGCGTGCACGTGTGAGTGTGTGAGAGCTCATGTGTGCACACACATGTGAGTGGGCAGATGTGGGTGTGCACACGTGTGCGAGTGGGCAGGTGCGGGGGCTGTGAAGGGGCACCTGGGGCCCTGGGGTCCCCCGTTCCCGCCCGGACTCCCGCTGCCCCAGGGCAGCCAGCCCCGCCCCCTCCCGCCCGTCTGGGGAGACGAGGGCTGGCCTACAGCGAGACCCGAGAGGGACGCAGGCGGCCGGGAGGCTGGGCAGTTGAGCACGGGGACAAGAAGCACCAGATCTGGCAGCCACGGGCCTCGCTACTTTCCAAACCTAACAGCCTAGCTCACGGCACCCCCGTCCCCACGGCGCCCACGGGGTGCTGAGCCGAGGTCTAGCAGAGGAAGTGCGGGCCGGGGAGGCAGGCTGCTTCTAAGCGGCGCCCAGAATAGAGAAGTTTCAGGAGAACAGCCACGTCGTCATCCCGAGGGCCCTGCGGCCCCCAGGCCGACTGTCTGAGGGGCGGGGCCTCCGAGCCCTCCCTCCGGGTCCCCACAGGTGCTTATGGGGTGGGGGTGCGGGTGGCTGGTGCAGGATGGGGGTCCCGGTGGGTCTGGGGCGGTGCGGGACGGGGAGGTGACCCCACGCACAGGCACAGGCTCCTGGCCGACGCTCTGAGACCACCAGGAGCCCCGACCCCCCCCACCTCTTCTCTATCCCGGGGTCGCCGACCCAGAGGCTCCCGCGAAGGGCGCAGCCCAGGAAGCCCGAGGCCTCAGAGCCTCGGCTCTGGGAGCCTCGCCACCGCCGCCCCCCCAGAAGAGCTGTGAGCAGAGGCGCGGAGCAGACAGGCACACCCGTCCTCCCACACGTCCCCTCCATCCATTCCCCCCACCCCACCACCCCCGGGGCCCTTCTGCTCCGCCCACAGGCCGCCACCCCGGAAACCAGAACATCACCGGCTTTCTGCTTGGAACCCACAGGGGACTTTTCCCCACCTCTCCGGGCTCCTCCCCACGCCCGGCCCGCCCCATCCCTCCCACACCTCAGGGCAAATGTCACCCTCGCAGGCCCCCCCGAACACCAGCTCGAGGGACCCCCCGCGCGTCCCCATCATAACGCCCTCTGGGTTCTTCGCGGCATCTGCCGGTCCCGACACTTAGTTCCTTCCCTGTTTCTCGTGTGCTGTCGGGGCCGCTGCGCGTGGACGGGTGCCACGAGCCCCCTCCCAGCAGCCCGGCCACACCCACATTCGGTACCCAGATGCCTACGCTGCCCCCACAGCCACGAGCTCCCTTCCGCTGCTCCAGGGTGACGGCTTGGGGGACGCCAGGGCACAGGCCACCACCCCTGCCGCCCTGAGCACTGACCTGGGGACGAGGCTTGGCTGCGGCCAGAGGCCAGGCCTCCAACGTGCCGGGACCGTGGAGCAGGCAGGCCGGGCACGTCGGGGGCCCCGGGAGTGGGCCGCGGGGAGCTCGGGTGGGGGGGGAGGCCACGTGCCCCGGCTCTGCGCCTCCCCGGGGCCCAGGGGGCAGAAGGAAACCCCGGGCGGGGGTCAGAGAGCCACAGACCCACCTCCGGCCCAAGGGCTCTTGGCAGCACGCGGACAGAAGACCGCCACACGCCACCCAAGCCTTCGCAGGAACGCGGGGATGCGGACAACACGCAGAGAACGAGCGCGGGGTCCCCGGCTCTGCACGAACCCACCTCTACCTCTGCCCGCTATTCTCAGAATACCCTCTCCCTGCATTCTGGTGTCATTCTCGAGAAACCGCCCGGCTGCTGCGAGGGGCACATGGAAGTCCCGCCCCCGGTCTGCCCCCCGCCAGGCCCCCGCCCCACGCACCCCTGTGCCGTGGGCACAGCCCACCCTTGGCGGCCCTCCTGGAGGCACCCACCCTCCCTGGGCCCCAGGAGCCACTCCCTCTTTTGGAAAATGCTGCCCCACCAGGAAATGAGGAACTTGTCCGGCAGGAGAGAACGTGAGCAGGGAAGATCCACGCCGGCCGCAGACGCGGCCGCCAGCTGGGCTGGGTCCCCTGGCGTTGCTGCCCCGGCCGGAGGGGCCCGCCCAGCAGCGGAAAATCACACCAGGGCAGGGTGGCAGGCTTTCTCCCACAGCCAGACCCGGGAGCCACGGCTCCCTCCCGCATTCGTACTCAGGAGAGACGTGGGCCCCCGCCCGCCTGAGCTGCCCCACTGGCCGCTCACCAGGGAGGACCCCGTGGCCCTGTCACACGCGCCGCAGAGCTGAGCAGCCCCCCCCCCCCAGCCAGATGGCCCTGGGTCCCCCTCCCCTCCCACCCTCCTCAGCTGGGCGTCCCAAGGCAAGTCACTGACCTGCTCTGGGTCTGTTGCTGGCCTGCAAAATGGGCACGCAGAGCATTCAGGTGCAACAGCCGGGCACAGAGTGCTCGGTCAAGGGCACTTGTCGTGCAGCGGCACATGCGTCCAGGCCACGCTGCCTGTCCCAGGGATTACTAATGGCTCCTCCGTTCACCCTCAGATATGTCCTGGTTCGGATCGTAATTTCCTCGGCCCCCGGGACGAGGGTCTGCGGCAGAAACCATTGCGGCTCGGCAGCAACTGTTTCTCCAGCTCCCCGCGGTCGGAACTCACTTCCCAGTCTCCCGGGAGTTTGGCGCGGCTGGGGTTCTGGCCCGGGGAACGTGATCGGGTGGACCCGTGTCCCTCTGGGCCTGGCCGACAGCCACCACCCACCCATGGTGCTCATGTCTCCATCCTTGGCTGGTGGGGGGGGAGGGGGGGGGCTCTGAGAAGGGGGGAGGGGTGGAGGCCATAGCGGGAGGAGCCTGGGCCCCGGAGGCACTGTCTGCAGCAGAGAGACCCAGGAGAGCTGGGACCGGGCACCCCTGCACAGCTCTGTGTTACAGGCAAATGACAAACGACAAGTGTGGTCTCTGAGATGCGGGGTGTCTGTTACGGCCGCTGGCCTTCCTGACGAACTGTCTCCCCATCCACTGGGGCCCCCAGGACCCGGCACAGAACCCGGCCAAAACCAGGCGCCCAAGAGTTCACGATGAATGAGCCACCCAACCGCCCTACGCGCAGTCCCACTTCCAAGAGAGAGTCGAGGCCTCGTCCCCCACCTCGCCGGCCCACGTCCGCCGAGGATGCGCGGGCAGGCGGGGGGCGTGCAGAGCACAGGGGCTTCGCGGGGAAGAAGGGGCTCACGGCTCGCGGTGAAATGCTGTCCCGGAGAACGAGTGGCGAGGGCCAGCGCGGGTCCCAGGAAGGGGAGGGCCCCAGCTCACCACTCGGCTGTGCCTTCCCCAGAGACCTTCACGGAGCTGCTCCGTCAACGGCTGCACACGGAGTACCCAGCAGGTACAGAGTGTCGGCTGAGCAGCACCCCTTCCGGGCCTCACCCTCCTCATCTGTAAGATGGACAGTAACAGACACCTGCACAGCGGGCCCAACTGGGGGAATCACCGGGGTGCAGGAGAGACCCCCACTTTTCACCACCCGGGGACGTCTGCTCTGAGAGTGGACCTCTAGCCCAGGCCTCCCTCCCCACGGCCTTCATCCACTTGTGTGTACATTCTGAGACTGGCTGAACAAAGACCACCAGATGCCCCTGCCCGGCCATCCTTCTACGCAGTGTCCCGGCCTGGAACATCTGTCCGCGGAACACTTTGGCGGGGATTAGCAAGCTGCGGCCCTCGGGCCCAGGGTTTTGTAAATAAAGTTTTATTGGCACGCGGCCACGTCGATCATTTAGTCTATGGGTCCTTCTGCAATAACCCAGCCGAGTTGAGTGGTCGTGACAGAGAAGGTGTGGCCAGCAGAGCCCGAAAAGTTTCCTAGCTGGCCCTTCAAGAAAACATTTGCTGCCTGGCTCAGCAGAAGAATACCGACTCTCCATCTTGGGGTCTTGAGTTCGAGCCCCATGTTGGATGTAGAGATTAAGACACAAAAAGAAAAGAAAAAGAAAACGTTGGCCAAGCCCCGCATTAGAGGGGAAAGGGGTGAGACACAGACGTGAGCCCAGGGAGGACCTGTGATCGGAGGGGTGCTTCCCGTCACTGCTAACAATCATCTCTGACAACAAGGCTTCTGGGTTTAAGGAGTGGCTACAGATGGGCCCGACATCTCACGACTGACGTGAGGACCCACTGGTACACAACTTAAGGCTGCCTGCAAGCCTGCCCGTCTGGCACGTGTGGGGGGACACGCCCCGTGTGCACGCCCGCACACAGGAGGGCTCCGTCCAAGGGGGGCTCGAGGAAGTCTGGCTCTAAGAAATGGAGACACTAAGCCTATCGCA